TGCTGTGTGTGTGTGTGTGTGTTGTCCCCCGCTGCTAATTCTTCAGGACCACCCAGCAGCCCCTCTCTCGCTCCAAGCTGTGCCACGGGAGGGAGCAGGTTTAAGATGGTCCGAGGGCCTCCAGCTCCCGATTCCTTTGTCCTGAGCCCCCCAAATTCTACAGGGCTGAAATTGACGCAAATGTAAACCAACCAGGTGCAGGCAAGACTTTTAAGGCCGCTCCGCCTACTTCCCCAATCTTCCCCAGCAGAGAGTTGGGCACGACGCGTTTGCCCTCTCTTTTCAAACCACAGTCACAGCAAAGGGCGTTGTGTACTGCCGGGGGGGAGCGGTGAGCCTGCCCTTACCCATCCCAGGTGTGCAGGGGCAGCTTCACGGTGGGAAAGAGGCTTGGGGGAGTTCCTCCTTAAAAAGCCGGTCTCCTGGAGGGTGCAGTACTGCAGCCTTTTAGCCACTGTAGTCGGGGGGGGCAGAGGAATTTTAAACTGCCCTGGACCCTCCCCACGGCTCGCCCGCTCCCCCCCCCCCGAAAGGCTTTTGCAAACATGCAATAGATGTCATATACACAGGACTTCAAACCCGGCAAGTCCCGATTTGAATCCCGCCAGGTCTGGAAGCTGCCGCGCTCCACAAGGAAGTCACCTGAAATAACCCCGCCGAGCCGAGCCGTGCGTTCGCTAACATGCAGACTGGCAAGACATCAGGGTCTGTCCGGCCGCCTCGCCCACCAGAGCTCAGCCTTGCAGGCTGGTCTGACGCCTATCCCACCACCGCAGCTGCTCCAGCAACAGACAAACAACGGTCTGCAAAAGGGATGGATGGCCCGGCTATGTTGCAAGGCAAGCTCCTGGGGGGCTGGGAGGGAGGGGAATCATAGCGGACGGGGGTGCATTGCACTATACCGCATCACCCTGCAAACGGAGTTAATCGCAGGACACCGGCTGCATGCATGATGGAGACAGGAGACTGCAACAAGGATGTGTGGCTCTGCAGTGAGTCCACCTTAAATCTCCCTCCCCATTGCTCAGTCCCCAATGTCTCGCGCCCCTTGCGTGCAAAAAATAATAAAGACCCTTTCCCAGAGCACACTCACCCAAGTGAAACTTGTTGGGGGGCTAGGCGCTAGCGCTGGCTTGTTCAGACAGGACGGAATCCCAGTGGCTCAGCTAAGCCATAGTTGCACTCAGTTCACGGGTTCAAATCCCCCCTTCGCCCTCCCCTTTGCCTATGTCACAAAGGGGCTTCCTTTTCTCCCCAGTGCACCTTTCTAAGCTGTGTCTGGAGCAATAACAGCTCTTTCCGTGTAAAGTCGCCGCCTGCTCCTGAATTGCAACCCTATATAGTAGGGCTGTATGGTCTGACTCTAGCTAGACCTTCCCTTTCATTGCTGTGTTGGAGGCGTCGGTCAGCGTTACTACGAATCCTAATAGAAAAGTGGCACGTTCTTTAAAAAAAATCCTCTAAAATAATTAATATCAGGGCTGGCAAACTGGGAACAGGTTGGATGAGGGAGATTCTTTTAACAAAGGGGTGAGATTTGAAAGTGTCCCATTGCAACAGACACATCACAACCCCCTTCACAATGTAGGAAGTACTTAAAAACAAACAAACAAAAAGCAACCTGTAAAATTGATCCAACATCACTGGAACCTTCCTCCACAGGAATGCAATTTGTCTGTAAGGCCCCGAAGAGGATAGACTACTGTGGAGCCCCATTGAATCCAACAAAAACAACAAGGAGTCTGGTGGCACCTTAAAGACTAACAGATTTATTTGGGCATAAGCTTTCGTGAGTAAAAATGCATCAGAAGAAGTGAGGTTTTTACTCACGAAAGCTTATGCCCAAATAAATCTGTTAGTCTCTAAGGTGCCACCAGACTCCTTGTTTTTGTAGATACAGACTAACACGGCTACCCCCTAATAATTGAATCCAACAGACTCACATGAATTGCGGCCTAAGGGATTCATATGAATAAGTTCTTGCAGTATTGCAATATTTATATGTGTGTCTGTAAATACAGAGAAAAATAGATGTTAGCATTATAAAATAGGTGTGAGAGAAATTTTAATACTCAAGAACATACATTAAATATTAAACTATATGTGTTGTAGAAAATGTGAGATAGATAGTATTTTGGTATTAAATTATAAATATTCCATCTTGTAACACGTTTGCTCTGAGCACTTTTAAAAAACTCACCTTCCTATCAAAACAAAACACTTCATTGCGCACTATTCGCCCCCTAGGTAGAGGGTAAGAGAGAAGGAACCACATGTGAGTGAAAGTTGCTCAGTGTGTAAGAACCTATGTAGAATAGAATAGAATAGATCTCTTTGC